CCCTCCCGCGCTAGCCTAAGGGCCACCTTAGCAAAGCGCATCCCAGGCTGCATAGCCGCACTACCCTACCCAACCATACCACACATAAACATGACACTACCCCCGGGGTTTACACAGACGAGCCGGCGAAGCAAGAAGAGCGCCAGAAGAAAGGGCCCTAGCCGGCGGGGCCCAGCCAGGACAAAAGGAGGTCCCACAAAGCGCCTACACCGGCCGCATTTGCGGTCGGGGTAGACGACGGATGGGGCCCACCTACGAAGGCTGTCCAGGCCTACACGAGATGAGGCAGGATAAAGAGGGATAATCCCCCTCGATCCCAAATCATTGAGGCCAATTTCTAGCCATAGAATAATGGCGCGGCGCTCGCGAAAAAAAGCCTTATATCTCTGTGTCCCATGTATCCGAATTCCGACGATACGATACGAAGGTCCGAAAGTGTTGCTATTGGTTAATATACATTCAAATTTTTACCGCTCATTTTCATCCGAAATTTTTAAAATTCATACGACGTCGGAAAAAGTAGAAATAATTTCAACTTTTATCCGAAATCGTACGTTTTTTAACCTCACAATTTTATTTCTTAACATGCTATGATTGTTGTTTGGTATATTTACAGTCAAATAAATGTTATATTATAATGTCGAATTTAGAAAATATAATACTACGTATATTTTCCACGATATATACCTATGGTTGTTATTTGAAAATGTTTCACCTTCATCTTGTAATAAATTCCATGGTTCTATACTTGATTTCTATGAGATTAATTTCGGATGCATGTGAATTATAATATTATCATTCCTACGAATTAAAATATTTTCGGATATCGTACATCGGATTTCGGATGCATGGGACACCGGCCTTACGCGGGAAACCACTTTGTCGCTTCTGTGTAGTTAAGATCTTATGTGCTCCAAACTGTTTTCACCAAAGTCGCTCTATAAAGCCAGTCTAGGTGGTCTCTGTGGCTGTTACTGACACTGACTATTGTAGATACCGTCTTTATCGGCAATCTTCCGTCCGGTGTTATAATTCCGACATTTCTGTGGTAGGCTCAATTTATTATTAGTGTTAACAGTTAGTGCTTTTAAATATTAACACATAATTTCTTCCACGCCTTTTTATAAATTAATATACTGTAATACAATATTAATTGACTGATTAATATCAGTCTGTGCAGCGGAAACAATGTCCAAAAGAAGAATCGAAGTGTTAGATCCTTTTATAAAAAAGAAAAGGTAAAATTTAATCTACTGTACGTTATAAATGTAAGTCTTAACTATTTAAATATTCTTCATTACAGGGAAGAACGTGGAATAAGCACAGCTGTTACTAGTAATCAAGTATCAGTAGGATCTATTAATCCATATACTGGATTACCGTATACTCAGAAATATCATGAGTTATTCCGAAAGAGGATAGGTTTACCGGTATTTGAGTATCGTGCTGACTTTATGCGATTACTTGCTGAACATCAGTGCATAGTGCTTGTTGGTGAAACAGGATCTGGGAAAACAACACAAATTCCACAGTGGTGTGTAGAATATTCAAGAACTGTTGGAACAAAAGGGGTTTGCTGTACTCAACCAAGAAGAGTTGCAGCCATGTCTGTAGCTCAAAGAGTATCAGAAGAAATGGATGTTGCACTTGGACAAGAAGTTGGTTACAGCATTCGTTTTGAAGATTGCTCTTCAGCTAAAACAATTCTTAAGTAAGTATAATTGTAAATATATCGGAAGCTATACTTTCTATTCAACAATTCTTCTGTATTATAGATATATGACTGACGGTATGCTGCTCAGAGAGGGAATGAGTGATCCCATGTTAGATGCATACCAATGCATATTACTAGATGAAGCTCATGAACGAACTTTAGCTACTGACATTCTAATGGGTGTTTTAAAGGAGGTTATAAAACAGCGCAAAGATTTAAAATTAGTTATCATGAGTGCAACTTTGGATGCAGGTAAATTTCAGCAGTATTTTGATAATGCTCCATTAATGAATGTACCTGGACGAACCCATCCTGTGGAAATATTTTACACGCCCGAACCTGAGAGGGATTATTTAGAAGCCGCTATAAGAACAGTAATTCAAATACACATGTGTGAAGAAATAGCAGGTAATTTTATTTAAAAATAAAACGAACTTAAGAACTTAAAGAGAATTGAAATTTTATACTTACATTTACAACAAAAGATTGGCATTGATATTTTTGTAGGAGACATCTTGTTATTTTTAACTGGTCAAGAGGAAATAGAAGTGGCCTGCAAAAGGATAAAAAGGGATATTGATAACTTGGGTCCAGAAGTGGGGGAACTAAAATGCATTCCACTGTATTCAACACTTCCTCCTAATCTTCAGCAGCGTATTTTTGAGGATCCTCCACCAAACAAACCTAATGGTGCCATTGGACGCAAAGTTGTTGTTTCTACAAATATTGCAGAAACTTCTCTCACTATAGATGGCGTAGTTTTTGTTATTGATCCTGGATTTGCAAAACAAAAGGTGTACAATCCTAGAATTAGGGTAGAATCTCTCTTGGTATCCCCAATTAGTAAAGCATCTGCCCAACAAAGAGCTGGTCGTGCCGGCAGAACTAAACCAGGAAAATGTTTTCGTTTATATACAGAAAAGGCATACAAAAATGAAATGCAGGACAACACATACCCGGAAATTTTAAGGTATAGTGTCAAATATACTCAACTTTTTTAATCATTTGAAAACTGCATTGGTTTTAGTTTATCAAAATTTTAAATTTCACTTTACTTAGTCTATTTTATTCACTTTTTCATATTAAAAATTTTTCAAGTAGCCTGAAAGAAAAAGTTACAATTTTTTTAATCATCTGGTATCACTACCTTTTTGAACTAAGCTAATAAACATTTGTGGCGGTGTTGGCTGATTTCTCAACAAAAATTTTTTGTATATAAGGTGCACTGTGTCAGCACTCCCCTTAAATTAAAAGCAAGTCTACAAGTTAATTGTTTAATGCAGAAATTTTTTAGTTATTGTCATCCCCATTTTGCAATTTTTATATCGGTGACTAGAAAGGTGCAAGTCGGCATTTGACCTTTTGTTCGTGCCAGCATGGTGCACTCCCCGCCGGCCGGTAAACATAAAATTTCTGTTTCTGAAACACCGGCTATTTTAGTTTTTTAAACATCCTATATGTAAAAGTTTGATAATAACTTCCAAAAAAAAGTTCGTCCCGCCCGTGATACAAACCGTGTACTTTTGGCTTTACAATCACAAGTTTACAAACTGAGCTATGGCGGCCTTTCAGTGGGTGGAGCCTGTACTGGCTATTTGAAAGTTTGGCTTTCCGCAGGTGTAAACACAAAATTTAAAATGTTCAAATTAAGTTTTAATAATAATAATAATAATAATTGTTTAAGCCAAAAATGGATTCAAACAATAGAAATCCTTTGATGGTTTGGACTCCCAGAAATAGATACCGCTGTGTGTGCTGTTTTATAGCAACGAAGCAGTCTGAATTCAAAAAATACCGCAAAAAAGAGNAACAGAGATTCCATTTACAGGGTAAATACAGAAGTAAAAATAAAAATAAACGGAGTTAAACTTATCAAAGCAGAATGTCTAAAAAAGAAAGAAAATATATAATCCAAGTCATATTTAAACCGATTATGAATACACATATGGGTTATAAATTAAGGTCATCATTCAAATTCCAAACAGCTACTTGTATAAGTTCCCTCAGTGTACATGCATTAATATCACAGCGGTGACTAAGTCTATTGTAATTATTACACATCACAAAAATGGACGATTTAAATAGCAAGTTTGTCTTCGGTGCACAACTATAAAAAGTCACAGTATGTCTAATCGATGACCTAGGCACAGCAAAATTTAATTGCCTCAATAGATCACAGCAATCTATTTGGCCATGTAAGAGTTTGTATGAAATAGAAAGTGTAGCACATTTGTGCCTTAAATTTAGACTAATTAAATTGAACCTATTTTTTAACAGGCTATAAGCTACACCTCTTTCAGGATAAACACCATCAATTTTATATACTAGATATTTCAAAAATTTCCTTTGGATCGATTCAATATCAACTTTGTAACATCTGTAGAATGAATACCAAATCACACAACCTCACAACCATACTCAAGTTTGGAACGCACATAAGAGTAGTATAGTATTTTCAAAGCATCAATGTTAGTAAACGTTCTACAATTTCTAACCATAAATCCATACATTTTCATTGCTTCACCGATTTTCAAGGAAATTGTTGGTTGAATGATAGTTTATGGTAAAACAGAATGCCAAGATCCTTGAGTCGGCACAATTAAAAACAATGTTCTCTAATTTGTAAACATAATAAAGAATACATTTCTTTCTGCTGTATGAAACAATTTTTCACTTAGAATTCAGGTACAATTGATTTTCATTACACCATATCAATAACTTGTTAAGGTCATTTTGTATCTATACAGTCCTCAACACTATTAATATCTCTATAAATCTTCAAATCACCAGCAACAAATAGTTTATGACTATCAAGGACGACTCAAATCATTTATGAAGAGTAAAAAAAGCAAAGGACCAAGGTTAGATCCTTGAGGCACGCCTGACGTTAAAAATGCCAGGGATTTAAAACTTATACTCAACATATTTTTTTGCTTTAAATAAGATGAAATAAACCTTTGAGCTAGTACAACAAAACCAAAATTACCTAATTTATTCAATAATACAGTGTGACTAATCCTATCGAAAGCTTTGGCAAAGTCAGTGTAAATTGCATCCACCTGCCCTTGATTATCAAGAACCTCAAATGCAAATTGGGCAAATATATACTCGGCGGTCGAAATTATAAAGAGTGACTAATACATAATATAAAAACACTATTACCATAATGCGTATAAAATATAAAATGATTTCTATACGGTTCAATATTTTTTATCTTTGTGCCGCTCGCCATGCACATCGGTAGAATCTATAATCGTGTATAGACTGAGTTACACTGAACGTCGATCTATATTTTATCTCTGTCTTTTGCACTTGGTAGGGAATAGGGAAATGCTTTTTTAGTGGGTGTAAACGGACTTGATTTGCCCGACCTGAGAAACGTCATAGCATAAGCGTAGACGAAGGGTCTAATTCCATGGCTATAATAAATTTATAAATTAAAAAAACACAACTGGGACGTTTCTCAGGTCGGGCAAATCAAGTCCGTTTACACCCACTAAAAAAGCATTTCCCTATTCCCTACCAAGTGCAAAAGACNCAAGGACGACTCAAATCATTTATGAAGAGTAAAAAAAGCAAAGGACCAAGGTTAGATCCTTGAGGCACGCCTGACGTTAAAAATGCCAGGGATTTAAAGCTTATACTCAACATATTTTTTTGCTTTAAATAAGATGAAATAAACCTTTACAAACAAAACCAAAATTACCTAGTTTATTCAATAATACAGTATGACTAATTCTATCGAAAGCTTTGGTAAAGTCAGTGTAAATTGCATCCACCTGCCCTTGATTATCAAGAACTTCAAATGCAAATTGGGCAAATATATACTCGGCGGCCGAAATTATAAAGAGTGACTAATACATAATATAAAAACACTATTACCATAATGCGTATAAAATATTAAATGATTTCTATACGGTTCAATATTTTTTATCTTTGTGCCGCTCGCCATGCACATCGGTAGAATCTATAATCGTGTATAGACTGAGTTACACTGAACATCGATCTATATTTTATCTCTGTCTTTTGCACTTGGTAGGGAATAGGGAAATGCTTTTTTAGTGGGTGTAAACGGACTTGATTTGCCCGACCTGAGAAACGTCATAGCATAAGCGTAGACGAAGGGTCTAATTCCTGGCTATAATAAATTTATAAATTAAAAAAACACAACTGGGACGTTTTAAAATGCTGTAATAATTAAAATTGATCAAAGTGCCGGTTATAGCAAACCGTGAAAAATATTAGATGTTATGTTCTATTATGTTTTTTCAATATTTTCTATATCTTGTTGCCTTTTACGCAGACACGCCAATGGATTTTCGTTCCCGGCACGCTTCATCCACCTTACTGGTCCAAGAGCTGGTGATGAATCACTATCTATAATTTTGGGCGTCGAGTATAGTTAAATTCGTTATGGTTGATCTATTATTTAAGAAGCCATGCTGAGATTGAGACAATTGATTATGTACAGATAAATAAATGCGGTTATATAAAACAATTTCAAACAATTTTGCAAAATTCGAAAGAATAGAAATTGGTCTATAATTAGTAATAAGGCTATTATCACCGTTTTTGAGAATAGGGCATACTCTAGCTATTTTCCAATACATTTCACTGCCAGATTAAATAAAATAACAGAGTGGAGTAAAGTTTTATCGTTATAATATCTTTGAAAGAGTAAAACCGGTGCCTAATGGCAAAATAACAGCCCGCCGTAATCCAAACTACTCGAAAATATATGACATTCATGCAATTTTCGAATTTTTGTGGGCGTTTCCGTCGAGTTTCATTTCTCTTCCGTATTTTTGGTGGTCACAGAAAAACTAAAATATTTATCTAGGAAAACGCGGGAAAACCATTACGAAAGTAACCACGTCGTGCGTGACTCGCAGAAGCCTTTAATATTGGAAAATGCCTTCTTTTTCAGAACTAATGTGGTGGCATGAGGAACCTACAGCTTTTAATAAATAATCTAATGTTTGGGTGGGATAATTGCAAATACATTTCTGAACGTAACTTTATATCTGAATATGCTTAATTCATTGATTTATCTCCAGCCTCATATATTTATTCAGCTTCAGCCCCACCTGAATGTTTTTTTTTGCGGATATATCTGAATTTACAGTTAATACTTTAAATATTGTTTCCAACATGTATGAAATAAATCAGTAATCAAATTGTTAGTATACGAGTACTTTTAATAATGGAGCGATCCAATTTTTATTAATTCTTCCTTCTCAACTGATGCAAAATTTATAATTAAATACTTTTGTATACCAAATTATTATTAAAAAATGCAAGTAATAACTGACAAGACAAAGGCTGATCGAGAAATAGACTAAAGAAATACGAACAGGTAAAGAAATACAGAGTTGTAGTAACCAAATAAAACAATTTAAAACTAGATCTTTGTAAGTGGTAAGTGTTTGACAGGAGTTTTTAAACAGGAACAGAAATCTATGTTTAAACTATATGAAATTTTATGTAGTTCCTCGAAAAGGCATTGTTAAAGTGTTAATTAAATTAAAATGAAAATAACCCTTTTAATTGTTTTTGAAAGTGAAAAAAGCAGCCACTCTTAACAACCATTTAAATAAAAAAGTAAATTTATTTACTTAAATAGAAAATGAAACAGTTTTTTTTATCCAAAAAATTCAAATTTTCCATTTTCCAGATCTAATTTGGGATCGGTAGTTCTGCAGTTGAAAAAGTTAGGCATTGATGATTTAGTGCACTTCGATTTCATGGATCCCCCTGCACCTGAAACTCTAATGAGAGCCTTAGAGTTGCTCAATTATTTGGCCGCTTTGGACGACGATGGCAATCTCACAGATCTGGGAGCAGTAATGGCAGAGTTCCCCTTGGATCCACAATTGGCGAAGATGCTGATTGCTAGTTGCAACCACAACTGTTCAAATGAAATATTGTCAGTAACGGCAATGTTGTCAGGTATTTATTTAAACCCTCGTAAGACTTTATTTTACCTGAACTTTCTGTACTCTATTAGATGCATAAGTTTTTGGGGTAGGTTTAATTAAAAAAAAAAATGGATATCGATCTATTTCATGATTATTTTTTAAACTATTTTTATTATAATCTATTTCCTTCATTACACCCATATTTTCAAATAAAAATAATAATTATTATATTTGTGTAAATGCGATGATTATACAGACCTGCATTTTAATACTTTATAAAATTTCAATTTGACGGAGTAACTTATCATCAGTTACTGAGTTATGTTAATTTAAGATCTGCATTAATTTTTTTTTCAAGGACAGTTTTTGAACTAAACACTATATATAACAGCATAATCAGTGTATGTATATGTATGTACAATATAATAAATGTACTTGTGTACATTTATTATACAGAGTGTTACAAATTAGTAGGTCAAGCTGTTAACCACATATTCTTTGGATTAAAATAATAGAACTTTTCTTATGCCACTTTTCATTTCGGATAAAGCGGCATTTTATTCTATTTTTTCCATTCTCTTGAGATTTTTATTTGGGTCCTCGTTTACGAGATATTGTAACTTTTTTGGATACGTGACATTAATTTAGTAGACGTTAGACTTTAATTTTTGGGATTTTATGCAAAATTTCTTTTATATGGTACCAATACTAACTAAACAACAGTTAATGAAACGAATTGTACGAGGTAAAGAGCACTTTAGGCTGAAACGACGTACAGTAGAATCTCTATAATCCGGCACTTCATTACACCGGCACGTCCAGTAATCCGGCACTATTTTTTTCGCGTTTGTCTACTATCTTTGAAGAATACAGTTTATCCAGTTATAGTTAATTGAAAGATAATTTTACAGAAACATAAAAACATTACAAAAATGTAATATGTATGTATCTATGTACCAAACTCTTCGTTATAAACAATTAAAAGCAACGTTTTTTAATTTTCTATCACGTGCGCTCGCTATGGGACCTATAGTATAGGGGGTTAGGTGCACGGAAAGTGCTAGATAGTACAACAGCGTGATGTTATTTTCATAGCGCAACGCTCCAGCGTTACATTATACATATATTCCATTAATTCGAATTTTCCAGTACTCCGGCACTCTTAGGTTTTTAATGGTGTCGGATGAATGAGATTTTACTGCATTTTGATTTGGGACTTGCTGTACAAGATTTGCACCTTTTTTAGATATGTTAGATTTAGCTCAAATTAAACATCACTGCTCATGACGATGATCATTTCCATTTTATTTACTAAATTGAAATAAATAAGATGACTCAAATCTTTCATACGGCCCCAAAAAATAAAGTCTAACTTCGACTAAATCGATGTTGTGTATTCAAAAAAGTTACAATATCTCGTAAACGAGGCCCTAAATCAAAATCTTATAAGAGTGAAAAAAAATAGAATAAACCACCACTTTATCTAAAAAAAAAATATTCGGAAAGCATAGGTGTACTCAAAAAACAATAGGGTGTCCGTGATGGGTACTGTAACTCTGTTCGCGCACTGATATTTTAAACCAAGATTACACAAAAAGTGTGCCGACCTAAGATCAAAATATGTGCTAACTTTCAAATAAATATCTACACTCACCGGAGTTATCAATAAAAATTAAACTTTAATTTTGACACCCTGTATTTTGAAAATGGGGCTCTGAAATGAAAAGTGACATAAGAAAAGTCCCATTATTTTAGTTCAAAGAATATGTGGTTAACGGGTTGACCTACTAACTGTATTATACAGGGTGTCCCAGAATATGTGAGTAATCTCTCGGATTCATAAAGGGGACGTTAAAATAACATGACAAGTTCCTATAAAAAATTCCCTAAAGCCGCCCCCCTACAGAGATACAAGCCCTTAAAGGACGCGCCTGAAAATCGATTTTTTTTTAATAACTTAAAATACTTTGTGTAATATAATTATTTTTTTAATAGATAAGAGTCCTTAAAAATTGACCCGTGAAAAAAATTTTAAAATGAACTGTTTTCGAGAAAAACTATTTTTGTGTAATATGATTTTTGTTACATCCGTAAAGAGAAATAATCCGATGAAATTTGCATTCTTTCTGTGCCTATATAAAAGTCTTACATGTTGTCCATTGTATTAAAAACTAATTAAATTACACAAATATATTTTTATTATTTATGTCCTTAAACAATTTTATTATATTGGTGGTAAATTTCGTTTTGTTTCGTTTCAAAAGGTCTCCAAAATGCCATGTGATAATATTAGTAAACAAATATCCTTTTTATTTCTCCATTTCGCAATTGTAATATGAATGATTGATAGAAGGTGCCTATAATAAATTAAAATTGCCTGATTCACACCAAATTCCGCACTGCAGCACTGCACTGCTGGGCAATTTATCAACCACTCGTTTGATGTGATTTATTGCCCAGTAGCCCAATAGAACTGTGATCGTTTTCCTTTCCCCACGCTCGCATTCTTCAGCTGAGCGTATACATTTATATCACCTCCAAGTTTAGTTTGACCAGACCTTTTTATGGGTATAGCTAAATAAATAAAAACAAGTTTTTCAAATATTTCAATGCTGAATTGCAGCGACCGAACCTGGTACATACTATCAATCTGTTGGTTCTTCAATTGATATCGGAAAAATTATATATAGCTGTTGACTTTTGAATATAAATTAATTAAAAAATAAAAATAGTATTAAATAGTATTATAGTCTTGGAGAATGCCAAATAGTGAATGGAGGACATTTTCAGCATTTGCGACATTGAGTTTATTTTTTGTAAATTACCTAGTCGTTTCAATTTCCAGATAAAAAAAACTTGTTATTGAAAAAATAAAACTTGTTTATTTGGTATGGCTGGATTCGGTTTTCTATAAGCTTTTCAACGAGCCCCCTCATGCCTTATGTTTCCATTTAAAAAAAAAAGTAGGGGTAGCTGGGGGTTAGGGGGTTGAAGAAAAATTAATTATTATATAACCGAAAGATGGGGAAAAATCAAAATCAATTAACGTGTTTCGGCGTGTTAAAAAAAATTAACTCATTCAAAAGATATAGAATTTTATTCCGTACTTCTGGCCATCCCTGTATAAGTCACTGATTTTTGGATTTACATGATATTATATCTGATGATGGAGGTCAACATTAATACCCTCCATGTCAAATTAGAAAAAACAGAACACTGATATATAACAATAAATGCGTTCAACTTCAACATCCAGTATATCGGAAGTAAAGCATTTTTTGACAAAATTTTATTTGAACTACCCTCTTTAATTTCCATCATAGTCTCCATAATTGTTATAAACAAAAAAGAGACTATACCAAAGAACAAAAAATATACAGGGTGGTCTACTTAAAAAACCCCAAGTTTGGTTCACATTTTCAAAATGCAACATTCAAAATTGTATTTTTATATGTTTATAAAGATTAAGCTATAGCTACATTGATTTACAAAAAATATTCCATGAAATATGAATAAAAAAAAAAATTATTCGTTTTGTGATAAACATGTCGCAACTATGCCAAAACAAGAAACATTAATCAATAACAAATTTTTCGCACGCCTGTGTTATTAATTGATCAGAAGCCACTAATAATAAACCTCCCCTAAAAACACTTTTTGGAAAATTTTAAACAAAGCCATTGCTTGAATATTGCACTTTAGTTTTGTTAGATTACATACAACCAAACATGAAATAAATTTAAGTAATCTTTAAATATATACATCGTAAATAGACCATTCAGACAATTAATGCTACCTTACAAAATTTAACTAAGAACAGTGTTCGAGCAAATAACCAATACTAAAGCGTTGATTTATTTGCTGGAAATGTTCTGACTAAGGGTAGCTCTGTAGGAAACGCTTGAACGAGCGCAACTATATTGGTTGGATACGGGCATGTGCCCTGCTCCAATATTTAGTCCCACAGTGTTTCGTCAGACCGAATGAAGCAAAGAAGGCCGCCGATGACGCCAAGATGCGCTTCGCCCATATCGATGGGGATCATCTCACCCTCCTTAATGTCTACCACGCCTTTAAACAAAGTGAGTATAAGTAACAGACAATTTTTTTAATTATAATCGCTTGAATAATTCACTTTCTCTTTGGTTTTTTTAATCAAAATTCTTCAAATTTAATATAGGGTATCTTGTAATTAATGGGACAAATAGAGGCAGCTAATTTGGGGCAACCAAACTTATCTCAGTTTGAAAGTTGGTAAAAAGAAAGATATAAGATGTTCAAACCACAATTTTTTATTATGAATTTCTTTATATATATTATAACTAATATGTTCAATACATTATAATAATTACCGGGGGATGTTGCATTTGATGTTTTGATAAAAGTGTCACTTATTATTCAGATTCGGATTGTTTAAAGAAATATACATGTATAATAATTGAAATGATGAAGAAGAAATTCAGTCAAAATTAATTTTTTTACTGATAATTTCTATCAAAACTTGAAAATATTTGCATATAAATGTCACAATTTGGAATACTTTTCCCTTTCAATAAAAGAAATTGTTACTCCCCTGTTAGTGAAATGTTTACATAACTCATCCGCCTATCTACACTTGATTCTTATTGTATGTGACAATTAATAAATAAACTGTATAGTTTATATCGCTGTACATCTCTAATGGTATATTATAATAACTTTATGGTCATTCATTTTTAAGTTATTCACAATCACTTGCAGATATTTAATTTGAACACAGTACGATGTAATAGCTTTTCATTTAAAATTTATTATATGGAAATAGAAGGCATATCCACAAAGTAAGAGTACTAAGACTCTGATGATCGGTGGTTTTTGTTTTCATCAAAGTTAGCAACACTGCATTCAAGGCCATGGTGTTGGAAGCAGAATGCGCTCATTTGTCTCAGTCAGTTGAGAACTGTTGTTGTAGTGGCGTATTGAAATGAGGGAAATGAATCTCGCCAGTTGTGAGGTGAGAAGCGTAATCCAATTTTTTCTTGCAAAGGGAAAGATGCTGTTCCAAATTTTTAACTAAATCAGTACTCTTTATGGGGATGGTGTGATGAATCGTTCTAATGTGTACAAGTGTTGTCATATAAAGCTGGCAGAACGAATGTTCATGATGAACAAAGGAGTGGAGCTCCCTCAATCGTGTCTGATGAGATGGAGAACAAGATCAAAGAAATGCTTTGTGGCAAACATCGATTGACTGGATGAGATGAACGTTTCCACAAATCTTCAGATCTTTTCTGCATGAAATCATTAGTGAAATACTTGGTTTTCAAAAATTGTGTGCGAGGTGGGTACAGCTTACAGATCAACCCAAAACCAACAGAATAGCAATTTCACGAGAATTTCTCAAGTGCTTCGAACTGGAAGGTGACAATTCCTTGAGTGTAGTGCGACTGGCAACGAAATGTGGGTGGCCCCTGAGACAAAAACATAATCAATGCAGTGGCAACAGCCATCATCAGTGAAAAAAGTCAAAACCGTTGTTTTGGCCCGAAAAGTTACGACATCTGTGTTTTGGACTGTAAAGGAATGCTCATCATTGACGGGAAACAATGAATGCTGTGCGGTAGTATGAAACCCTGAAAGCACTACCGACGGTGATACAGAACAAAAGGAGGGGAGGAAGGGAAAAAGGGGGGTTAATGAAAGAAGTGTGCTTGTTGCATGACAACGCACATCCCCAAACAGTCAACACCACAAAGCAACTCTCGGATTCATTCGGTTGGAACCCATCCTGCTCACAATCCTAACCTGGCATCTTTTCATCCTTTGGCTCATAAAGTCCATTGAGGTTGAAGGCAATTACATTGAAAAATAGTGTTTGATGTACCTTTCCGAATTTGTAAATTTTTCGTACATATACTGCTGTTTCGATTTTTAAAAAATTGAGTACTCTTTGTGGATATGCCTCGTACGTAACTACCACAAATTCTTTCTAATATGGAAATTTGTCTTTTTTTAATGTGTGTAAGTATAAATGATCAAAGTCAGTGACTATAAATGATTTGAAAATGACCGTGAAATATTTTAAATTAGAGAAATGCCCAATAAAAGTAAAAAAAAACTTTTGAAATGAAAAAAGCAGTAAGTGTAGTAAGTATAGAAACCTTACGAATTTAGTGAAAACATAATTTTTGATATTTAAAAAAAACTCAGTGACCAGTCAATTAACGATTTTTAAATGACCGGTCATTTAGTCATCGCTGTCTTAAATTAAAAAGCAAATATTGGTGACAGTTAAGTAGTCTATTCTTTTTTTAATTTTATGTCCTGTTAATTCTGACATACTGTATAATATTGTTTTACCATAATGTATTTAAACAATAAATTTACTAGATAATATGATGGGGAGCATGTTTCATAGAGAAGAAAATGCAATAAATTAAATATTTTTATGGTGAGCAAATTTTTTCAAACATTTTTCCGGTTTTTATTCTGGACGGGAATATTGTACTTCATTCTGTTTTTTAGTTTTGTTCTTTAGGGAAATATTCTTCCTATACTTTTGTTGATTTTTCTTCAATTTAAATAACTTACTAATCAAAAAGATACTCTGAACTCCTTGATAAAAATAAATAAAAATACACAAACTTTTATGTAAGGTATGGAAGATCCACAATGGTGTTATGACAATTTTGTCAATTACCGTTCCTTAAAGTCAGCAGACAACGTCAGACAGCAGCTTTCAAGAATTATGGACAGATTCAACCTGAAGAGAACTTCAACAGATTTTACAAGCAAAGATTATTATATTAACATACGAAAGGCATTAGTGAATGGATTTTTTATGCAGGTACAGTACATTTTTTAAACTGTTTATAAAACTCTCTGAATGATAAGATTTTTTTTACCATTGCAACTTATTTTAACGTGACATTTTAAATCTGTAAATTTTATTTCATTGCAGGTAGCCCATTTAGAACGTACAGGACATTATCTTACAATTAAGGACAACCAAATTGTACAACTACATCCGTCAACTTGTTTAGATCATAAACCAGAATGGGTTATTTATAACGAGTTTGTATTGACAACAAAAAATTATATTAGGACAGTTACAGATATCAAACGTAAGTATTTGTTGAATTTCGTGTTTAATTTTTAAGTCCAATTGGATTGTTTTTATATTTTCAGCTGATTGGCTTTTAAAAATAGCACCACAGTATTACGATCTGAACAATTTCCCGCAGTGTGAAGCAAAGCGTCAGTTAGAAATCCTCCAGAACAGATTAGAATCCAGGCAGTATCAACAAGGATTTTAAATTTTCTACAAATATTATTTTTGTAATATGATTTGTAACAACTGTTTGAAAATAAGTGTATTTATATTTGTGCAGTAATGGTCGCTATGCATTTCATTCCACAATAAATATTTTGTTCTCTATTGTTAAACTTTTCTGCTTTTTAATGTCTTTGTATAAATCGAGGGAGGAACATGTGGAGACCTATGAGGATGAGCCATAACTTCTTGAGGATGCAAGGGGATTTCTTTTCAATTTATTTTTTTGTATACTCCTGTGTGATTTTGATAAGTTGCATCATTTTGGAGTACATTTGATTTGAAAATTTTGTTGCTGAAAATATATGAGATCCAAATTATAAATGTCCTGTATGCAATACACCATATACATAATTCAAGGATTTGGTGCTTCAATCTGACAACCGACATCCCATCATAAAGTTCGACTTTTTGTCGGCATACTTACTCAGAAAGTTTTGACGTACAGGCGCTATTTCTGTGGAAATATTCGTCTCAGCCAAACAATGGAATTAAGCCATGAACATTTTCATGCTATTATTTTTTACAACTTTCGATGTGGATTATGTTAACAGTGGTGCATCGACAAACTTAATTCGACTTTTGGGGATGAAGCACCATCAAAAACCACTGTATATCGGTGGTATACGGAATTTTATCGTGACCGTGGTTCAGTCACTGACAAAATTCATGAAGGTAGTCCAAAATTGGGTTTTGTTCCAGAAAACGCTGATGCTGTGCATGAACTGATATTGCAAGATCGTCATGTGACTTATCGTAAGATTGAGGCATCCTTGGGCATTAGTGGGACCAGCATACATTCAATATTGCATGAACATATAACAAAAAAAACTTGTTTGTGTTTGTAGGTTGAAAGAAATGCTCAAGAAATACAATCGTGATGCTTCAAAACACGTCTAGACACAATATAAGGTGACCAATTAGAGATCTATGCATATGAGCCAGAAAGTAAACAGATGGGTCTTTCCAATTGAGCCAAATCCAACAAAAGTTGTTCTCAAACGAAGCGTTTCTAAGCAAATGGTCACCTGTTTTTTAGAAAAATCGGACATGTAGCAACTATCATTAGTGCAACATCGGACGGTCAATTCTGAATAGTACACAACCATTTCTTTGCCAGAAGTCTTCGTTAGAAATAAGGGAAACTAACCACCGAAAAAAACATTATTTCCCACCAGGATCATGCGAACTCTCACACATCAGCTCAGACAAGAGACTTTTTGAGAACTGAAAATATCGAATTGTTGAGACATCTGCCGTACAGCCCTGATTTGGCACCCTATTACTTTTTTATTCCTAGCACATCAAAATTAAATTACAAAGTCAACATTTTTCGACACCTGAAGAAGCGCTTGATGTGTTCAAAATGCACGTTTTGGAGATACCTCAATGGGAATGGAAAAAATGAATCGAAAAATGCTTCAAAACAGTAAAGTAAGTACAATATTTCTTTTTTGTTCTATATTCCCGAAATATAAAAGATATATTTTGAAAACAATTGACAGTCACTTATTTAACAAGATATAAAAACTTTCAAAAATGGTTACTAAAAATACAAATTTATGTTAAAAAAATTGCAATCTGAATAGGGAAACGTGAATAAAAAAAAATTTTTTAATTTAAGATATGAATATTTAGATTCCCAGTAACTTAAGCAATAAGTATTGGAGTTTTTTCAAAAAAGAAATGTAGGTGTACACTTTTTAACCGTATTCTTTGTATAAATACGTCGGGCACATCGGCTGCTAAATATAAAAAAATTCTATATCATAACTTATTCGAAGAAAAAAACACTTGAAAGCAACACCCAAATTCAGAGGGAGGGGAGAGATGGTCATACAAAGTGATACAATTTTTGAGCCACAAAATAACGCAAATTAAACCTGCAGAACATATCAACAGTTAAAACTCTGAATAGTTTGGTCCAATTAAAAATTCAAGTTCGAGTTAACACACTTGAAACATGGTGGTTACGGTTATGTTTCACACATATTATATACACTTTGAGCAGTGAAAGCGTTAAGGGCACATCTTTGAGCAGTTCAGGCAAGTTATTTAACCCTTTCGCTGCGCAATACGTCTGAATGTAGCTACCGCACCGTGCGCAAAAGTATCGTGTGCGAATATATATGTCTGGAGCAGTTAGACCACTTATAGTTTTGCATTATGTTGTGTTAAATTATGATTTATGATCAATTTTACGATTTTATTTTATATTATATATTATATAATCTGTCACTCATTCAGTCTGGTAGTATAAAGGTGTATTTCCTATGGGGCGGCTGCCGCCCAGTGTCTGATGCTTAGTACTGCTCTGGTGCAAATTCATGTATCCGTTTCTTTTCGAGCGTCAAACGCTGGGGGCTACTGACGCTGCGGCACTACTCCTTGCTGAGACAGTCAAGCGACAGCCGCGGGTTGTGAAACTCGTGCTTGTACAGTGTCCAAAGTTTTATTTATTACAGAGGAAGATGAAGCATAGATGTAATGGGTTGGAAAATACCCTTGCCTCTTCATTTTTCAATAAATGTCTATGCATTCGTCAGTTCTAATTTTAAATAAAGGATGAACCTGTTTTCTTTGTACATGCTTAGTAGGAAAGTTTCTTCATCCTCAATTTCATCTAATAGCAAATCCAACAATTTCTTTTTGTTTTCGTACATTTTAACCTAGAAAATGCTACTTTTTTGGAGACAGATCATTTGCGAGTAACGCCTCATAGGAAACACACCTTAAAAGGGTCAATAAGCATATCATGAAAAATACCGGCCGAAACATTTAAAAAAATTCTGTTGGAAATTCATTTCACATAAGTGAAGATCTCCCACGTGCCTGTGTCAGAAAGTATTTATTCTAATGGGAGTAAAAGTTGACACTTCCGTTACTAGAACAAAGGACCCCGCACTTTTCTTATGGGAAGTGGTATTCGGCCAATTTTGTTCTTCTTTTCTTAACATGTAGATCGAAAGTCTCAATGAGCACAAAGTCCCAAATCCACCCCTTCCCCCCAAAATCTGCCTCCAAGTAGCTGGAGGATTGAATTGATTTCTACATGTAAAACAATTTATTTTTTTAATCAACCCAACAATGACCCCAAAGAACCACATTTTTGACTATCAAACTACCCTACTTGACCCCGCCCCCCACAGACCCCCCGCCCGCCAGGAATCAGCCTACGGATTTTCCAGATTACTGTATTTTATAGTTGCACGTATATTTGCACGTTTAATTTTTGCACGTATTTTTTCACGCTGAATTCGAATCTGCAACTCAATTTTATGAAATCGGGTCAGGAAAATTGTTATTAACAATTTTCTATCACGCGCGCTCGGTATGGGACCTATAGTGTAGGGAGTTAGGTGCACGGAAAGTGCTAGATAGTACAACAGCGTGATGTTATTTTCATAAACAACGCTGGAGCGTTGCGCTATGAAAATAACATCACGCTGTTGTACTATCTAGCACTTCCCGTGCACCTAATCCCCTATGCTGTAGGTCCCATAACGACTCGCACTTGTGATAGAAAATAGTATGTGCAACTGGTTCGGAAAAGTTGCCATAGCGCCACTTGGGCACTTTCCGCACTTGCTTCGCTCGTGCGTCAACTGCGTCCGTGTGGCGCTATTGGCAACTTTTCCCCACTCGTTACACACTGTACTATAATTGTAAAGTTTATTTGTCATTTTATGAAAAAATATTTCAAGTAAAAGTTATTTATTTTGACTAATCTAAAAAAAGTTTTTGTTTTTTTCAAAAAAGTAATATTCAAGCTGTAAATCGCTGTTAAACTTAACACACGTGTAGCTATCATACGTATACTCTGTGTTAAACTTTGGTGGCGATTTAAAGCTAAAACATTGATTTTTCGAAAAAAACTAATAGTTTTTTTTAGATTTCATTGAAATAAACAAATTTTATTTGAAACTTTTTTCATAAAACGATAAGTAAACTCCCCACTACTTGGATGCAGTTTTTTTGGGGGGGAAGGGGTGGATTTGTGGCTTTGTGCCCATTGAGACTTGATCTACATGTTAAGAACTATCAACCTGCGAAGTTTCAAAAAAATTGGCCGAAAGCCACTTCCCATAAGAAAAGTGCGGGGTCCTTTGGTGAGCATATTTTGCTGTAAGTCATTCACAAAACTTCTCTTCAAGATGGTTTTGAATCATTAAGGCTTGAACTTGCTGCACGTGAAATGGCCTTGCTGTACAATGTACCTGGCACTAGTTGTTGGATGTTCTTCAAGGACGTGATCTAAAACAACTTCGACCTGCAGCATTCTAGGTCTAGGTCTTCTAGTCTTAAGATTTTCGTGTTTCTTGATGTCTTTGAACATAAACAGATGGACAAAATCACCTCCACTTTTATGAGAATCGTCACATCGTTTGTGGGTAAAATAATTCCAACATTTTTGTTGGATCTTCAGCTGTTAGCGTTATTCCTCAAAACAATTTTCAACATGCATTGCTATACATGTATGTCCAAGGTTGAAAAGTTATCGCTAGGACTGGAATAGAATTGGAAATTTTTTCTGGTAATTGGGAACAAAGCTATTAGTATAAGGATTTAATATTATGATTTTTCACAGATTAAATTATGTATTTCAAATAGCTTTTCTGTAACTTTTTTGATTTTTTAAACAAATTGCATTTTTGTCAAGTTCTATGTCCAGTTAAAAGAACAACCTTCACTTTAAAAAAAGACCTTAAGTAAGAGTAAGAAAGTATGACGAAAAAAAGGAAATACAAATATACAGGATGAGATTTCCTGAGTGGTCGGGAGAAATTTATTAGCAATTCATAATTCATATTAGCATTTATTAGTATAACTAAATTTATTTCCACAGGTGCTTTAAAAGCTATAGCCCAAATAAATGTTGGTGAAAATTCATCGATCACCCTGTATATCCACAAATTTTGCTCAAGACTTCTAAGTAGCCATTCCGCACTTGTCTAGACGGTCCCACTCTGGCGTTATAGCATGCAGAGTTTCTCACATAACGCCCTGTACAGTTATCTTTACCCTGATGAGTTAAGAAAATATTTCAATTGTCCACAAGTTTGGTACATGGTAACTAATTTATTTATAAGAATAAAAAAATGTGTCAATTTACACCTATAGACTATATATTTCAACATTCTTCTTGTATAATAAAACCTTAATGAAGCAAATTAAATTTAGTGACAAAATAATGCTAATAATATTAATTTAATCACAATTATAAAAACAATATTTACATGTTTGTATATAATACAAAATAGACGGTTATTCAATTTAATTTGTGGGAGAACCTTCTCTGGCCCTGTATAAGTTCTCTGCTATCTCCAATACCTCTTTGTTAAATTCACAATGTTTGGTGAGAGTTGAATTGATTGCATCTTCTCCTAAATAAGCTCCAGCTAGAGCCCCTGCCATACATGCTATTGTATCTGTATCTCCTCCTAGAGTAATTGCATACTGAATTGTCCTTCTGAACGAATTTTCAGTCTAAATATAGAGATATAATTAGATTATCAAAGTTAATGTGTACTAAAGAAAAAATAAATACATATTTTTAAAAGACAATAACAAAATATATTTTATTTAATATCAGAGAATATAATTTACAATTTGGTAATTTGGCCATTGCCTTTTACTATGCCTATGTAGCTCCGCCAAATGCCAAAAAAAATTGGAAACGTTAGTACATTCTTGTGAAGAAATGTTAAATGAAATTCCAAATACGTGGCAAATGGCTAATTTTACAGTATGCGAATAGAGAAAACATCAAAAATTTAATTCTTCATAAAATGTACCCATTGCATATGCGGCATCTATGAGGGTCATCTATAAATGACAAAATGATTCAAACTTTTCTGGTAAATATTTTTACATTCATTTGTAATTCACCACTCGTAGACATTAAACATTCTCAAATTTTAACCATAATTCAAGCAGTGGCGGCTCGTAATTTTCAGAATAGGTGAAGCATATTCACTGATTGACTAAAACGAAAAAAAGCACCGCAGGCGAACAATTTCAAATTTTCAGTGTCAAACGACTTTAAATGAATCTGGAAATTTTTAGATGCATTTGCAATATTACCGAAAAATTGACGTTCGTGAGAAGAATTTTCATTTAGATTTTTTAAAAAATAGAAACACAATTAAACGCGGCATACAGAAAATTTTTTTTAAATAAACACTTCCACACAACCATATACTCCGAATATCATTCATTTCGAAACTTCCGAATGTACACTTTGTCTTTTGACTTTTCCCTTTTTTTCCACATCGAGAGAATGCACAGGTCTCTTGCAATTTAAAAAATCCTTTGTCCGTTTCCAATAAAATACATACTGGAAACATTTCTATAATTATTGATACAAAACAAATATTAACACAGAACCGTTATAATCGTGCACTAGGCGACGTATTGTATAAATCCCGTATATATATATCTCTTATCTGTGGTATAAACTGTTTAAAGGCAGGCGATGGGCGATGGTGATGCTGCTTCAATTTCAGTGCAACTCGTTTCCCCATTCCGTAGTTTACTCACGTGTTGGCCGCCTCGTTGCCATGACAACAGCCGTAAACAACACTTTGAAGAGAAGCGGAATTAAGAGCCCTTTTCTTTTACTCATGATTTCGGAATCATAACGTGTTACGATCCGATGGAAACCAATCAGATTGCTAGATTTCGGATCGTAACACGTTATGATTCAGAAATCATGAGTAAAAGAAAACAGCTCAGACCGTTTCGATCTGTGTCACTTGCATATACTAAACGTTGTACGGTATGAGGTTGATGTTCGCGCTCAACGAAGGCAGTGATTTTTTAGGAGGTCTTCACTGCGCAACTATTCTGTTTATTTCTGCGTATAAAACAAACAAACACAATAAATTTTCAATATATACCTAAATTATAAAACTAAAAAATATATCAATAAATTTATCTTCTGAACAAATGAATATTTTGAAAAAAAATTTGTGTACGCAATTAATCACCCAATTAAAGATTTTTGACAAATTAAACTTTTATTTTAAGTAAACCATTTGACATTGAAAAATACTAAATTTTTGCTTGCGGCCCATTTCTCTGCGTTTTTAGTCTTTAGAAATCTAGCCCAGCTAATTATATTTTTGACAGACCACCAAAAAAAATGTTATTTTTTAAGTCTTAAGTTTTATTTTGAATGAAAGTAATCTTGTATGATTTTTACCATATTAGTACAAATTAGCGATTTGCAAAGGTGACACATTTGGAAAAATTTGGGCTTTTGCAAGTCGTTACACAGTATACCACAGATACCAAATTAGCCACTGTGATATAACCAGTATGAAAATATTGCTCGCCCATCGTTAGTAAACTGATAAGTGAAAAGACGAAAACTGTATTGAGGCACAAGACACATTCTGCATTTATCTAAACCTGTTATATTTACAAATTACAGTATTTTAAAAAATGTATACATAGAGAAAATTAATATTTTCAATTTGACAGCATATCTACCAAAATTTTGAAAAAATATGTGACGAATTCTGTTTCTTAATATCTTGTAATAGTAAAAATACTAATTTCAGAAATTTTAATGTATTTTGAGTATTACCAACAATGTAAAATTAAATAGTTCGTCACATGAAATAGAAAATTATAATTTTAAAATTTAATGGTGAGATACAGAAATGCTGCTTCAATGCAGCAGCGAATTGCGTTTAAAGATTTTACAATTTTTGCGACAAAAATTTAACATTCGTTCATGCACATATACGTAAACTAGTTACTTTTAAATTTCTTGCCTGGCCATGCCATGCCACAGGCCACAGTCAAGAATTATATATATATTCTTGGGCCACAGTAAACAAAATTAAACAACATACCTAACCTAAATTCACAAAATATTTTAGTCATTACATATGCAAGACATTAGACAGGACATTCATAAAAGAACATTCTGCAACGATGGAGTATGTGGTGAGTAAGTAACTATCCATTTTTGTTCAATATTGATGAATTTAACAAGTTTTAAATAATTAAACGTTGAAAAAAAAGTGAGGTTGACTTATATTCTAATTTGACATACTCACAGCATATAAAGCAATGCTTATACAAAGCTATTGCTTTATATGCTATGCCTTACCTATGTGCACAGAATACCACCATATAAATGACGGAACTGGACGCATATGCGCAGTTTATCAAAAATATTGCGATAATCGCCAAAAATAGAAACCGTTTCTATTTTCCCCACCCCCTGTATTTAAATTATGTGATTTTCACAATACATTGAAATGAAGAAACTGAAGTCAAACATATTTTATTTTAATCAATCAAATTGAAATCTACAAATTGCAATTCGCTACTGCATTAACTTACCTATAGAATGTTACGTAAATTATCTTACCTCAACGACTGGAATTTCATTTTGAGCTCTCAAAAAACAGTATATAGCTGTAGGCACTGACTCATGTGCTCGAATTCCATTACCTAATTTTGTAATAACTTCTTCATCTAAATCTTCCGTATCAGGCTCTTTTTGTAACAGTTGTTCAATAATTTTCAATTTTTCATGGTATACGTTATTTATATTGTCTAAGCTAAAACAAATTTTATGTTAATTATAGTTGCATAGTAAACACATACCTAATTATAAAAAGGTTTCTTTAACAATATACTTAATGCAGAATAAACTAATATTAACAGAAGTTTGTTATTTGCTTTTTACAATAATGTTAGTTTAAATATTTACAATATTTATACTATAAATTCTATAGAAGAATTTCCATCTTTAGATTATTAAAAGATATTAAACTTACTTATCTTCCTCAACTTCTTCTATGTCCTTCATTTTCGTAGATAATTCTGAACAAAACGTTTTGGGATCAATGCTATTTTCGGGATCGGACAATAAAGCTTGATGTATTGCAACACACTGCAGAAGAGCACCATTTATACCCAAAACATTTGAATGAGTAATCTTTGTTGCATTTTTAGCAACTTCTATCATAGCATCATAATTACTGTGGAAGTATAATGCCACTGGTGCTATACGCATAGCTCCTCCATTTCCATATGACCCGCCGCCAAAGAACTGTTCTCGAGCCGGTTTGAATACATCTTCATATTTTGTATTTTTTAATTTTTGGAACACCTCAACAACATTTTGGCCATATCCACGATTCGGTTCATTGTAATACTCATTCACAAATAATTTTGCTAAAAATTTATAGTCAGGTTCTGGTTTGTCAATAAGGAATTTTGCCACAGACTTCATCATTGCAGTATCATCTGTATATTGTTTATAAGGAGCTGTGAATTTTACACAAAATAAAAACAAATTACTATCATATGTACTTACATTATAGAACACCTTTAAAAGACGGGTCTTGAAGTTTTTCAAAGTATCTTTGGATTACTATTTTATCACCACTAGTAACAGTATCTCCTTCGAATGGGGCTCCTACACAATCCCCTATTAACGAACCAAGCAAACAACCTCTGAATTTACTCTTTATAAGAGAATTTTCTAAAGTCGCCATGGCAAATTTTTTTACAAAAGGACACATAAAAAATATTTTATTAAAATGTTCGCTGTTCAAAAAATAAAATGGGAGTAAATATTTCGCCGATATAAATAATAATACATTTTTGGCAAAATACAGGACATGCGCCTGAAAAAGTTTGGTTAACAATAATTCGTTCCAACATGACAGCCTTTCGATTTGGCACAAGTACTAGCTAATAGCAACTTAGAGTTGCTCTGAACTGATAATAGTTAGTAATAGCACATGTAATAGGTACTATTTTTGGCAAAACGAAAACCCCCATGACAGACAAGTAAACATTTTTTTAAGAACAATTTTTTTTTCCCAAATAAAATAGACATCTACGCTTACGTTAGACCTTACCTTAGAGCATATAGTACTCGCCACTATTCCATGGCTAGAAATTGGCCTCAATGATTTGGGATCGAGGGGGATTATCCCTCTTTATCCTGCCTCATCTCGTGTAGGCCTGGACAGCCT